TTAAAGCAGATATAATATTTATCTCATCATTAGTTATGTGGATTAAATGATAGAAAAGAGACTTAACATAGTACCCAGAACAAAGTAAAAGGTAAATTAAGAGAATTATTTGATTTCCAAAAAAGCTAATTTAAATCTGATCAATATAGGGAGTTCAACAGCAAAAGTGACTGCCATTAAAAAGAAGAGTGGCCTAGAGGTCCGGGTGGGATTTTTCTGATAGGGTTGACCTAAGGGCGCAGCATCAGTGCACAGAGAAGAAGTGAGTACAGGTTTAGGAGGGAGATAGCACAGGCTACATTTAGGAATTAAACAAAGGCCTATTTGGCTGGTTTCCTATTTCTCACTTGTGGGGAATATTAGGTTGTTTGAAAGTTATATTGGAACCATACTTCAGAGGGCTAAGAAAGCCAAGCTAAACTGTTAAGTCAGGAGTCTTGATAGTGGGATGCAGAAACCCGGGCAAATATACCAAATTATTTAAGGGACTGTAAAAAGTAAACATTAATATTTTTATTTTATTTTCAATCCAAAATTATATTTTGCTAATTTTAATTAAAAGATTGACACCACTATTCATTTATTTCTCATGTCAGCTGGCCACATGGTCTGTGATAATCCTGGGAGAAAACTGGAAGTTATACTTGAAGGAAAAAGTATAGTGAGGCACTTATTTCATTTGCTCACCTTTATATTGAAGCTAATCAATCATTCAGTTAGGCAGGTTTGTGGCCCAAATTACCCAGTTTCAACTAAACCAACTTTCCTATAATAGGTAAATGGTAGACAAAACATTCTTTAAAAAGATTTTCACAAAAAAATCATGTGTTAAGTATGATACTAATAATGTAAGAAACATACAAACACATTAATAAAGCAAATTCCATATTGTTACAAACTTTTCATTAGCAAGTTTACAAGGTAAAAGCAACGATGACCAAGTTGAATCAGATCTGACACAAGTTAGCCAAAAATGTTTGACATTATCTGGAAAACTATTTAAGATCTGAATGTACATCTATTATTTCCAATAACACATTGTCTATGCACATAATGTGCTTTTGCATTAAAGTAAGTGATATTATGACACCAATACAAAAACATCCAGTACTTTATAATTTTTTAATAAATTGAATAATAAAGACATAACCTTCATTTGCGTTTTCTTATTTAAAAGTGTAAGAAAAAAATCACATGCGATTTGGGGAAGTTGTTTTTCTGCCATGGAAAAATGTCTAAAGTAATATGTAGAAACCAATATGGTAACAAATCAAACTGCATGTCTTTGTTAGCAAATATTGTTAGAAGAAACAAAGAAGTAACTGTAGAAGGTTTGGGGGAAAATTATTAAAACAAAGTAAGTAACAAAAGGTTACATAATAGAAACAAAATAGAGATATTTCTAACATGCTCAGTTTATAATGTTTAATAATTCTGATTCTATAATAAAATCCTTAGAAAATTCTATTGTGAGTAATAATGTACCGATGTAGATAGCCTCAATATCAAGGGATTGGTATAATAAAGTTGTCTATATTTCTTAATTAAAAAACTATATATTTAATACTGAGGAATGGCTTTTCTGATGGAAATTATTTTTTTAAAGGGGAAGGTTATAGAGATATGAAATTCATTTACTTGTATTTGTTACAAGTAAGCCAGAATTGCAGAGTGCCTCAAGATTTTACAGATGTAGTACATGTTGTATACTAATGAGACCTTTATATTTTGAAGTATATCTTTAATATTTGGTACTGAGATAGAGAATAACTATGAATTTATTTTAACCACAGAGGCTTACTGATTATCTCACGGGAAATCAGTTTGAAAAGTTGTAAATGTGAAGATTTAATTCCTTTTTAACAAAAGTAGAAGAATCCCAAAGTTGCCCAACTTTTTGGTGATGACAATGGTTATCAGTAATACCATTTATTAGATATTTAGGAATAGTAAACCCTGGTTATTAGCAATATTCTACCTTTTAGGTATTAAAGAAAAAATAAACAATAGCCATCTCTTCAAAAAAATTACGATGTGAAAACACTCCTTTGAAGACAAATATTTGGAAATTATATGATTATGCTATATAAAATGACCTCATTTAAAAAAGCTGTCATATCAGCTCATTTAAAAAACTTTAAAAAAAGTCTTCCAGATAAAGAACTCTGGTGGTTTTTAAAGATATTTGTTAAAACAATATTTAAAAACAACTAATTTTCTGATGATTGGTATCAGGGAAGATTAACATTTGTGGAATTTCTACAATTAAGAAAAAAATTTGTTTTCAATTTCAAACTTAGAAAACAGATAGCAAGATTTGGCAAGTATAATCTTTGATCCACTTCCAACTCTGATATATGCTTGTGGGTTATCGTTTTTTGTTGTGATATTCATTAAAACTAAATGTCAAATATAAAAATAAACTTAGAAGTTTAATTTCAAATAACTATCAAAAATTTCAAACCCAATTTTCTAAAATATTGAAGCACAGTTAAGTCAATCAATTCTCTCTATACAACACTACCATTAATCATATTTTAATGTGGTCAAATGTATCTACATCTAAATAAATATAATAAAATGATTAATTTTCCCCACTGATTTTATCTTATTTGTTAATATTTTATATTGTAAATAATACATTAGTAAATTAGTACATATAGTTAATTTAGAAATAAAATTAGTATATACATATTGAGGTTGTAAAATCATAGAAAAAATCATGATAAAAGGAAATGATAGTGATAAAGGTACAAAATAATATAAAAAGTGGTGTACTAACAAAATATTAGAACACATTGTCTAGATTATATTTAACAAGGGATAGAGAATCATTAGAAGTATCTGAGCAATAAAGTTAAATTGTTTGAACCCTAGAAAATAATTTATCTGACAACTATATTATCTTAGACTATTACTTTTTGAGAAGGGAGAAACAGACGTCACAGTGACCAGTAACAGGATTATTCAAATCATTGGCAAAAGGTCATGAAAAGCCATAAGTAGGAAAGCTTCCTTAGAAATAGGAGCGAATGAAGAAGAGCGTGATGAACTGGATGTGGAGAGCAAAGAGCATGCAAGAAGAAACCTCAGATTGCTCAGACTGGGGAATCAGAGATAGGGTGAATGATGAACTAGAAAAGTAAGAAGTAAAAACCCGCCTCTATAGAGGGTGGATATGATTCTAACATACTGAGTTCCAGCTCACAATGGGGCTTTGAAGTGGGACAATCTATTGAAAACGCAGATCTGGCAACTAAAAGAGGGGCAAAGGTACAACCAGTGGATTTAGGAAAGGTTCATGTGACTCCAATAAGGAAAGAACACAGAACTCAAAGGAAAACAAGAAACCTCATCGTATGGAGATTGGGAAAAAGAAAAGCAATTGCTATAATCAAGAAACTCGTAAGGGATGATCAGAAAGACAAAGATAAGGGAAGGGTCAAGAAAGACAAGGATAGTTTCAAGAAGGGAGGAATGGTAAAAGGCATCGAGTTGTGAAAAGTGGTTAGCTAGGAGAAGCAATGGGGGGGTCTAGATCCAAACATTAGAGTGGGGGATACATATATAGGCATCTGCTTTCTCTGACTCTGAAAAACTCATTTATATGACAAGGGAACATGAAAGTTTATTTAATGAGGTATGCATCACCTACCAGAGGTAAATTATGTCTTAAAAAATGTAAACAACAACAAAAAACAAAACAACTGAACCAGTCTGGATGGACTATAGGTTCTAAATAGAGTTCTAATATTAACTTCTTTTTAAAACATGCTTTTATTGATTTTAGAGAGAGAGGAAGGGAGACAGATAGAGAAATTGAAACATCAATAAGAGACATTGATTGGCTGCCTCCTGCACACCCCCTACTAGTGATGGAGCCCACAACCCGGGCATGTGCCCTGACCGGGAATCAAACCAGGGACCTCTTGGTTCATGGATTGATTCTCAATCACTGAGCCACACCAGCTGGGCCTAATATTAACTTTTCATACTTATAAATAATTTTGTTTTCCTGCAAGTCATTGCTAGCATCTGCGAATTAAAATTATTCAACGGGTGGTGGTGGTAGTAGTGGGGATGTGGAGGGATTGAGGAAAAAAGAAAAAAAAAAAGAGGAAGAACTCATGGTCATGGACAATAGTATGATGTTTTGGTGGTGGAGGGGTAGGGGGACGTGGGGTTGGGTGGAGGTGGAGAGGGGATAAATGGTGATGGAAAAAAAAAATAAAGAGAAAATAAATAAAATTATTCTGTCGGATATATTGTAAGGTTTCCTGTAATCTGAAAAATCAGAGTTCCTCTAAAAATGATACTATTACTTGTATAAATATTGGTTAAGATGGGGCACTCTTAAAAGTTTCTACTAAAAAAAAGAATATATATATATTATTGAAGATTATGCTTGGACTATAAAAAACCCTTCAATATTAAACACATTGAACAAAACTACGAACAGAATATATTAATTAAAATCACACAAAACACTAAAATGAACTTTTTTAAAAAATGGCATATATCTTAAATTTTTCCAAATTTTTTTGCAATCACAATGATATAATTTTATGGTTGAACACAACTTGAAAGGCTTTTAAATGAGAAAAATACTTGTTGACCCTTATTTAATCAGCTGGATAAGTGAACAGAAACTTAAAAACACACATTATTTCTTATAAAGGAGGATACCGATTTTATGTTCATAGTGGGGAGAAAAAGGAATCTCTTAAAATGTTAAGAAACTTCTTTATCACTTTATAGGAGCTGGATAAATTATCTGATAGACATAAAAGCTAGAAGAATAAATTTTATATCTAATGTCTTATTAGATTAAGCTGTCAAAAAAACCAAAGTTCTGATTTTAGCAAACTGTTACACTTCTCTGAAAACACCATTAATCGAAGGATTTTACTTATATAATTACCATGAAGCATTCCATGTACTTAGGTAAAAATTAGTAAATTATATACATAAGACTGCAAAGTTAGGAAAACATAACTTACTGTTTTTTCTTTCCCAGGTTCCACCTGATCAGGCTTTGCTGTGCAGACTGCCTGTGGCCGATCTTTCATCTTTTGAGTTGTCCCATCACCTCCCTCAGGCAAACTCTGAAGCACCCCAGGTGGGAAATCCTCGGTCTTGGTCTTGGTCTGTGGTGGTTTCTCTTCCTGCACCACCTGCGGAGCCACTCTGCCTTCAGGCGTTTCCTCAGCCACCTGTACTTGAGTTTCAAGTAAGTCCTGTTTCTGTTCTTCCCCTAGAGCTGGTGTTGGTGCTTCTGGGGGAAACTTTTTGTCTTCAGGGGTTGGCTTTTTGTCTTTGAGAGCTGGCATTTTTATTTCAAGAGGTGGCTTTTCTTCTTCAGGAGGTGGTTTTTTGTCTTCAGGGGTTGGTTTTTTGTCTTCAGTGATTGCCTTTTTTTCTTCTGGAAGTGTTTTTTTGTCTTCAGTGGTTGCCTTTTTTTCTTCTGGAAGTGTTTTTTTGTCTTCAGTGGCTGCCTTTTTTTCTTCTGGAAGTGTTTTTTTGTCTTCAGTGGCTGCCTTTTTTTCTTCTGGAAGTGCTTTTTTGTCTTCAGTGGCTGCCTTTTTTTCTTCTGGAAGTGCTTTTTTGTCTTCAGTGGTTGCCTTTTTTTCTTCTGGAAGTGGTTTTTTGTCCTCAGGGGTTGCCTTTTTTTCTTGGGGGAGTAAAGCTTTGTCTTTTTCTTGTTTACTCTCTTCTTGTTTTTGACCTGTGGTTACCTTGGGGGACATTTTTTCAACTAAAGGTGTTTCTTTTGCTTTTTCTGAAATGGTTTTTTCACCTTCTGCTTTCCCTTCTTGCTCCTTCTTTTTAACTTTGACTTGACCAGGTGTTGCTGTTTTCTGAGGTGGCTGTTCTGTGGGGACAGGCACAGGAGAGGCCTTTGGCCCTGACGGTGTGGGAGGCATTCTGCCCATGTCTCCAAGCTGTCCCGACATTGCTCTCTGGGTTTGGCAATTTAAACAAAGCCATTCTTGAATCTGCAAGTAAAATAGCATCAGATAGATTAATTATATTATAATGTATTTGTTTCGGTGCATTTACCAAGGCTAAACTTTGGCAATTTGAGTAATTTACTCTCCTCTCCATAAAAAAGGAAAAGAAAACAAATCTTTAACAATAAAGAAGCAGCCAGGGAAATATTCTTTTTTGGGGGGGGTGGCGAAAAATCTGCATTTGTTCCAAAGAACTGTTTTTAAGGCTGGTGTCTTCAAAGTTAGTATTTCCATTATACATTTATTCAAAAACTATTAAATTTCATAGTCATTTTCATTTAATCACCAGTTAATCAAAAGTTTTTTTGTTTTTTTTAGGATTTAGCCTATAATCATCTATCTCCTGAGTTGGGTCAAAGGTAGTTCTATGTACTACAATAGAACTTTACAAAGTACATTACAAGTTTTCAAGAATCACAGGCATAATTCTCTACCTGCTTTAGGATGGAAAAAAAAATTTCATTTTTAATAATACTCACACTTCTCAAGCAATTGAGCAAGAAGCATTCACAGGCTCACATTGTTTGGTATCTTTATCCCCACAGTTTTCTGAATTGCTGACTAAAACAGTTCCCTGTATCTCTGCTCCTCAGTGTAATTCATGGTTTCCCTGTGGCAACCATGTCCTCAGACATGCAAATTCCTGGGAACTACACCAACACTATTTTAGCAGGATCCCAGTGTAGAAGGAGGGTCCTGTTGGTTTATTCTTTTGCAAACTAAGGACTGAAAACTACTCTCTCATATCACATACGTATAATCACATGGGGGAGAGATTATGTTAAGTTACTAATACTGCAGAATTCTCCCCTTATTGATGTCTGTTATGCTTTTTCATACATTATACTTGTTACAAAATGTAAAAAAGTAAAGGTTACACATGTAGCTTCTAACTGTTATCATTCTATGAGTACTTAATTTTATAAAGTACACAGTTGGAAGGTCATATAAAATAGTATTGCATTCATATGTTACATTGTCTTCTGTGAAGTTCAATTTCAAACTGCTTTTCACACTCGATCACTCTTTTCAGTTGTATAACAAAGTATTTAGAGAAAAAAATTACTTATTGTTCTAGATTATTATCAGACATATATTTCATTTCTTTCTTTTTTTAAAATATATCTTTATTGATTTCTGAGAGAAGAAGGGAGAGGGAGAGAGAGAGATAGAAACATCAATGATGAGAGAGTCACTGATCGGCTGCCTCCTACATGCCCCCGATTGGGGATCGAGCCCGTAACCCAGGCAAGGAATCGAACCACGATCTCATGGATCCTAGGTCGATGCTCAAGCACTGAGCCACGCCCAGCCAGGCAAGTTTCATTTCTTACTACAGATTTCAATTTCTTTAGAGACATAAAAAATGTTGCTTAATAATGACTCTTTTGAAATCTGTAAGCCATTATAATTCTTATTTGCTGATCTAAAAGAATAAAGACAAAAGTCAAATATTTAACTTCAGTAAAATGCTGTCTATAAAACATTAGTATGTATTATGGTTTAATTTGCTTTTTGTGTGTATGATCATCCAGTACCAATTCCCTTCTTAATTTCCTTCTTAAGCAGCTCTGAAGTGAATTGTGGCTTTTTTATGTATTCACTTTATATAAAAGTCTTAGGAAAAAACTGATTTGATCCCTTAAATCAAATACTAAAAGCTCCAGCCCTTGTGTGGAATTATCCCTGGAGGAAATACTTCTACAATATCTACAGAAAAATCAATCTTAATCTGTGCTGTGGTTTTAAAAACCATTACTGGGTTGAGCCACATTTAGGATATCTTCATTCAGAGCCTGATGTTTTTTAAAACAAAAAGAGACATAATAGCTGTATCACTGCGCAGTTGTGCCAAGTGGATTCTAAAAACCAAATTCAGGTGTGTGTTAAGCATTTCCATCCAGACATATCCTAATGTAAATAAGGAAAATTTTAGTATACCAAGAATACAGGTTTCATTACACTGGATAGTCTTATCAATTATAAAAGTATGATTATTTTATCTGAGTTCTGGAGACAAATTATTCTTACAAAGTTCTCCTCTCTTGCTGTTTACAGCATATAAGCCACAGTGGTACACAGCTCTTGTTAAAAGGTAAATGTATTTAAGGAAATAAACACAGTGACTATTTCAAAACATTTGAAGTTTAGATAAGAGGATCAAAGATACTATCTATTTAATCTATTAAGTCACATAAAACATTTCATTCTGCTGATTTAAAATAACCCTTAATAGACATACAAGCAGTGATAACCCACACACCACTAAGGTCTCAAAGCAAAGAGAAGGGAGTAGTGCCAATCTAAGAAAAAAAGATCTTTTCCTTAGAGTTCCATTGGCTAGTTCAAATTCATGTTTTGCTTAAAATCCTATACATATTCAGTTAACCTGAATGTTTTTAACCACTTCAATTTTGTAATATTTTTAACATGATGTTGCTTTACTTGGTCTCCTGTTTACATGACACTTTGAGTAAGATTACAAGGCAAAACCTAATTCTTCTGTCACCAAAATTAATCTGGAAACTTATGTTCCTATTACTATGTTACAAATAATTATGACAACATGATTTATGTATGTACCTATTCTGTATATTTCTTTCTCTTTATCTCAATGGAGTACACATAGCATTTGGAAAGTGTATCTGTAAGGCTTATTCCATCAAGGAACTCACATTACAGTAGAAGGAATATGACATAGGTAATATGAATATGCATAAATATAATATGCATTTAAAAACAAAGAAAATGAAAAGAACATGATGGCTTTAACAGGACTGTCCAAGGAATCAATTTAGAAGGTAAGAAACTGATAGATTATGAATCCCACAAGAGTATTTTTTCACCAGACAATTACAAATGTCAAATGGATGCTCTCAAATGTGTGTCTCTTTCTGCAGCCCTAGAACCAAATCAGAATGCCAACATATTCAGCAGAGGGCAACATAGTATCACTAAGAAATGGAAAGAGGGGGGAAAACACTTTAGTAACACCAAAATTTTATATTTCATTAAATACGTAAGTTTAAATTTTGTTTATTAAGAGAGAGGTCAGAAAAAGAGGCTAAAGTAAAATCTAAAGTGGAAATGAGAAAAACAAAGTGGATCGACAGGAGTAAAATGAAATTCCATTTTGGACAATCAAAGTCATTGTCATTATCATACATTTAAATAGAAAAGCAATTGCTAGAATAATTTGCGTCACAAAAATAATTTGGGAAATGCTCTATAAACACATAAGAAGATGTAAAAACCTATGGTTCACAATTTTTTTTGGAGTTGTTTACCAAAAATAATCCCAATGTTTTTTTTGTATCAATGTAGTCAGGAATTTAATTTATAAGTATTATATCTAGGTCCAAAAAATGTTATCTGCACTTTTAATTCCTCAATAGCTACATCATTAAATACTCATAATATTTCTAGTCCAGTAGCAATCTGAAGATAAATTAATCAAGATGCCTTAAATTATAGAAGAATTCAGTGCATAATATATCACTGCCATATATGACTTTTACTAGCTGAAAGATTTTACTAGATACAGCATTAACTGTTTATGTAACAGTTGCAATTGTGGAACACAGGACTATTCATATTTTGCCTTATAGTTAAGTATCAAGTAAGTTATGCTTTCTCTTTGAAATGAGACAATAAAAAATGAATATATTATAAATTACATACTATATATATACACACACACACTGAATGCATTTCTATTATTTACTTAGTAGATTACATAGAAAATTACAAAATATAAATGCTTATATAGTCTTTTTAACATCCTAGTCATCAATATGGATGCTCTCAGACCATTTCTGTTTGTTTTACTGTGTTTTTAAAATATATTTTATTTTCAGTATACTCTTACTATCTTATCTCCTAATAGTACAAAATATAAGAAAAGTTTATATTTCAACTAGATTATTAAATGTGTTAAATAAATTGAGAAGACTCCCTAAGATCAAAAACATTTTCATTCAAAGTTTTAACATTAATAACCAGTATATCAAAATTCATTTCCAAGTAGGAAAAATTATGATAGTTTATAAAAACGTAACTCCACTTTGATCACAACATACTAGAACATATTCATTTGTCACCTAGTACATGTTAATAAAATGCATTTATTTTAACATCAAATGATCAGGGCTTGTTCAAAACAAAACAACGCACCAAAAATCCATTAATCTTAAGAGGAGAGTGGGAAATGAGGGCAATAAAAACCTAGAAAAAGGATGCTGCTGAGCTACTCAGCATTTTTCCATCAATAAGCAATTTGCTGTATATAACATTTCAGCTGTAACTATGGCAACAATACCATTAAGGAAAATCTCAGAACTTCAGGCCTGCCTATTTATTTTTCCAAGTTTCTTTTCTGAAGCATGGTAATAAGACCTGCAGCAGGTTGCCATTAGACTGAAAATGAAAGGGAAGTTACGGTTACAAAACCTACACAAGCATGCACATCTGTATCTGAAAAATCTTCATGGAATTTTAACATGAATTTTCATTAAAAGATCAACTAGATTGATTTGAAAGTTTATATAATTTCCATCAATAGAGGTATTTAAGCAGAGACTTGGTGGCCCCTACTCAAAATTTTGTAAAGGAAAACCTGGTAATCAGGGAATTGGTACTAAAATACCACTGAGTTTCCCACTTATTATCAAGCTTCTAAGTCAACAAAATTGTTAAATGAATTTTTGTTTTCCTGTTGATTTGCATATCATTCAGAATGTTATTTTTTTAAGCTGAGAAATAATTACACATATAGTAATCTTCTTAGAAGTCACTATTTGACCCATTCACAAATCCAAAAATTGGGGAGCAATGTTACTTGCAAGTTGTTACTTGTATCAGTGTTACCTATAGTCCTGGCATTAGGGTTTATTTATTGAAGGCCCATACCCTCTTACAATTCAATTTGCATCCTGAAAATATTATTTTTTGCCTATTAAATATCTAAATTATTTCCTTTTGTAATC